TTGTATTTTAAAAAGTCAGAATATTTTAAAACTTAAGGAAAAATAAATGCGTATGTACTTCCTTCCCTAACTATGGAAAAAAACCTGACCTATTTTGTATTTATTGTATAATACCACAATGAAAAAAGTTTTGTTACATAGTGACTATATTCTCATCCCCTTCTACTTCTATGAAATAAAATCAAATCCAAGCCACAGTTCAACTACTTAACAAAGGAAGCATTGAAGTAGTGCTGCTCAAACTTTAATGTATGCAAAAATGCATATAGAATCTTTACTTAATTATAAATCCTGATTCAGTAGGTCTGGGGTGAAGCTAAAATAGTGCATTTTCAAGCAAGGTCCGGGGGGATAGCAATACAGCTGGACTGTGGATCACATTTTGAGTAGTAAGGGGTTAAAACATACAATTATTCCCACATTAAAAACAATTTATATTTAGTATACTAAAAAGGAGGATAAAACTTTATCCCAAAGAATCCATTCTATTTTAGGGTATCCCCTAAAATAACAAGAATTTTAGTACTTGCATGAGTTGGCTGTCAGCATTAAAAGGCTGAGAAAAACACCAATCCATGCATCAAACTCAAGAATTTTGGGCTGTTATTAGAGATAAAGTCAGTATTTATCTAGGACCAGGGCCCCCACAATTTACTTTGATCGAGATAATGGGAATATAGCACCAGGAAAAGGGGAAAGGAAGTTTTAATCATTCTATGGGAATTGTATCTGTAAAATGCATTGTACATATGTACTTATGTACAAACTTACACTTACAGGCATACCTCATTTTATTGCACTGATACTGTGTTTTTTACAAATCGAAGGTTTGTGGCAAACCTGCATCAAGTGAGTCCATTGGCACCATTTTTCTAACAGCATATGCTCACTTACTGTCTCTCTGTCACATTTTGGTAATTCTCACATTAAAAACTTTTTCATCACCGTTCTGTTATAGTGATCTGTGATCAGTGATCTTTGATGTTACCATTATAATTGTTTTGGGGCCCCACTAACTGCACGCATGTAAGACAGTAAACTTAATAAATGTTGTATCCTTATTGCTCCACCCACTCACTGGCCATTTTCCACTTCTCTCCCTCTCCTCAGGCCTCCCTATAACCTGAGACACAACAACATTAAAAATTGAGCCAATTAATAACGCTACCATGGCCTCTAAGTGTTCAAGTGAAAGGAAGAGTCACATGTCTCTCATTTTAAATCAAAAGCTAGAAATGGCTCAACTTAATGAGGAAGGCAGGTTGAAATCCCAGGCAGGCCGAAAGCTACATTTCTTATGCCAAACTATTAGCCAAGTTGTGAATGCAAAAGAAAAGTTCTTGAAAGATATTAAAAGTGCCACTCCAATGAACACGTGAATGATAGGAAGGTGAAACAGCCTTATTACTGGTATGGAGAAAGTTTTAGTGGTCTGGACAGAAGATCAAAATAGCTATAACATTTCCTTAAACCAAAGCCTAACTTAGAGCAAGGCCCTGATTCTCTTCAATTCAATGAAGGCTAAAAGAGGTGAGGAAGCTTCAAAGGACAAGTTGGAGCTAGGAGAACTTTGTTCATGAGCTTTAAAGAAAGAAGTTGTCTCTAGAATATAAAAGGGTAAGTAAGGTGAAGTAGCAAGTGCTGATGGAGAAGCTGCAGCAAGTTATATAGAAGATCTAGCTAAGATAATTAATGAAAGTGGCTACACTAAACAACAGACTTTCAATACAGATAAAATAGCCCTCAACTGGAAGAAGACACCATCTAGAACTTTCACAGCTAGAAAGAAGTCAATGTCTGGCTTCAAATCTTCAAGGGACAGGCTGACTCTCTTGGTATGGGCTAATGTAGCTGGTTGGTGACTTTGTGACTTCAAGTTGAAGCTGTTTCTCTTTCACCATTTTATTTTACCATGAAAATCCTAGAGCCCTTAAGAATTATGCTAAATACACTCTGTGCTCTATAAATAGAACAACAAAGCCTAATGACAGTACATCTGTTAACGGCATGATTTACTGAATACTTTTAAGCCCTCTTTTGAGACTTGCTGCTCAGCAAAAAAGATTCCTTTCAAAATATTACTGTTCATTGACAGTGCACCTACTCACCCAAGAGCTTTGATGGGGAGATACTGGGAGACAAATGTTGTTTTCATGCCTGCTTATACAACTTCCATTCTACAGCCCATGGATCATGAAGGCATTTCAAATTTCAAGTCTTATTATTTAAGAAA